AACTTAACTCTTCTACCTTGCAGAAAGCTCAGAGAACATCCCCATCCTGAGTCCTCTGGGTTGTGCCCTGTGAGGGCACAGACAGGTGGATGATGCCAAGGGACCTCTTCAACTCATGTGTCCTCAGCTGTGAGACTGAGGCCAGACCTGGAGAGGGTAAGGAGGCAAGGGAGGGTGGACCAGCCACAGGCGGGGGAGCTGCTAGCCCCATAGGGAGAAGCACTTGTTCTCACTGTGGTCCCAGAGGGGAAGAATGTGGCTGTGAAGAATGTGCTCGAACTGTGGAACCAGGCTCCTAAGCTAACAGGGCTGATGAGGTTGCCTCTGCCCGCTATGGACTGGAGCCTCAGAAAAGCCCCTTGGGCTGCAGGCCTGGGACTATGGGGGGAAGCAAGTAGGAAAGAGAATGTTTACAGGGACCAGTTTAGTCACATGGTCACCTAGAAGACAATCACAAAGAACATCATCAGAAAAAAGAGGAGCCTTAGCCTGACGTGGTGGTGAAAGCCTGTAATTCCAGCACTGATGCAGAGGATGAGTCCTGCTTGGGAAAAGGCCCTGTCTAATAAGGCTGATAAGTAGTGTGAAGGTCCTGAGTTCAATTCCCAATACCAACCTCCTACACCCAAAAGAAAAAAGAGCCTGATTTTTTTTTTTTTTTTTCAGTACATGGATTGAACCCAGGGCATTTACACCAAACTACATCTGCAGCCCAGCCCTTTTAATGTTTTTATATTTACTTGTCTTCTTATTTAGTTAGTTAGTTATTTCAGGATCTCGATGTGTAGTTCAAACTGATCTTGAAATCACTGTGCAGTACAGGCTGGCCTCGAATTCAAGGTGCTCATCCTGCTTCAACCTCCTGGATGGTGGGATTACAGGAGCGCACTGCCATGTGCAGCTTATGTTTTTATTTTGAGACAGGATTTCATTATTATTATTATTATTATTATTATTATTAATTTGTCTTTTTGAGACAGGGTTTCACTATGCAATTCAGGCTGGTCTTGAGCTCACTTTGTAGTCCAGAATGGCCTAAAACTCACAGTTTTCCTCCTGTACAGGGATCCTCATAGCAATCCTGAGTATTGGGATTATAGGTGCACATCACCACAGCTGGCCTTATGATAATTTCAGTGAGTTAAGTTGCCCAGGGTGAGCTCAAATCTGTGATCTTCTGCTTCAGTCTCCAAAGAGTGCTGGGATTATAAGGTGTCCACACTCAGCCAATCAGATTTCATAAACCCTAGGTCAGGGTGCGCGGTGGCACATGCTTAGGATGAAAGTTCAATTCCAGCCCTGGCAATTTAGTAATTTAGTGAGACTTTGTTTTAAAATAAAAAGTAAGAGCTGTGTGTGGTGACACACACCTTTAATCCCAGCACTCAGGAGTCTGAGGCAGGATGATTGCCATGAGTTTGAGACTAGCCTGGGCTACATAAGAGTTCAAAGCCAACCTGGACTATAGAGCAAGAGCTTGTCTCAAAAACCTTTTTTTAAAAAGGCAAGAAAAGGGCTAGTGATATACCTTAGAACCTGGTTTCAGTCCTTAGTTCCCCCCCAAAAAAAAAAGCTAGACATAGTGGTGCATGCCTGTAATACCAGGATTAGGGATGCTGAGGCAGGAGGATCACTGTAAGTTCAAAGCCAGTCTGGGCTACAAAGTGAGTTCAAGGCCAGTCTGAACTACATAGGGACTCCTTATCTCAAAAAACCAAAAAAGACAAAAGAATAAAATGTAATCTTCATTACTCCTGTTTTGGTCTGGGATTATGATAGTGATACTCCCCCCTTTTTTGTGAGACTAGGAGTTAAGCACAAGGCCTTCACATGTAGCTGTATCCCCACTTGTCTTTGTTTATTTGTTTGCTTACTTGAGAAACAGTCTTGCTCAGTGTTAAATTGTCCAGGCTGGGTCTGAGCTTGTGATCATCCTGCCTCAGCCTCCCAAACTTCTGGGATTTTGTATGACGACTGAATATTCACATGGCATTGTATCAGGTAAATGAGATGGTGTATAAAGCACAAGCAGCAGGGTGCTTGTCCAGCATACAATGGGTTTTCAGTTATTGGGAGCTATTGTATCAGGAGTGCCCTGACTTACTTAATGGTGTGTGAATGTCTCCAGTGGCCTGTTACTGGGCTCAGTCCTGACAAACAATGTGGATGTGGAGCTGAAGTTGCAAGGGGCAAGAGTGGATCAAAATTAGAGAGAACACACTGGGAAATATAGCCAGCATTCAACAATTTAGCCGGCTGGAATAAGCAAAATGGCCCTGTTCTGCTGTCAGGATGAAGGCATTACACAAACCAGGGGATGGGGGTGAGACCTGACTTGACCCCAGCTCCAGTGAAAAGGCTCTGAATGATTTAGTTGACCACAACCTGATGGGAACTAATCATGAGAGAGAAAGGCTCCGAAGCCCAGCAGTCTTAGGCTGCATGAACAATGTGTCGTGTCCAGACTGGGGGAAATAATAGGCCTATTGTGCTGGCTTGGTCAGGCCATATCTGGAATCTTGCGTTGCTACACTGACAGACTGGAATCAGGCCAGGACGGGGACCAGCTCAGCCTCTGCTCCCAGGCTCTTATGCCAAATGCTTCCTGTGCATTTCCTTATTTCATCCCCAAAGAACTCTTTAAGGTAGATCCTGTGACTGTCCCCACTTTACACATGGAGGGGGTAACTGAGTTGTCCATGATCAACCAACCACTGGGGCTTTTCCTAGTGGGATCCTTGCTGTGCTTGTACTTGAGACGGACTGCACCTATGTTAATTAAGTGTCTACAATGAGTCAGATTGCAAGCTACTTCTGGGATGTGGAAGTGAAGATGTAGTTTCTACCCTCAAGAAGCAGCTCATCATGGTGGAGGTGTCCAAGTCATTTGTAAAACAGTGATTCTATAAAGAGGGGAGATTTCAGAGCTGTGAGGGACCATAGTCTTCCTTAGCCAACTCAAGCCTGCAACAGAGAAGCAACAGAGAGCAGTGTCACATGACACGGAGACATGGAGGCCATCTGTGTCCTTGTCACAGTATTCAGCTGCTTCACTTTGTCCCACTTGGCCAAAGAGCCATGCGTTGAGACAGGATCTACTAGGGCATATGAAGGAGCCAAACCTCATCTCTTCTCCCTGTATCAGCTGTTTGTTTATTTATTTATTGGACACAGGATCTTGCTATGCAGTTCACTTTGGCCTTGAACTCACTATGTAGCCCAGAGTTGCCTCAAACTTGTGGCCATCTCCTGCCTCAGCCTCTGGAGTGCTGGGATTATAGGTGTCCACCACTCTGCCCAACAAATCAGATAGTTAAAGAAAGAAAAAAAGAAGCCTGAGGCTGAGAATTAGGGTGGTGCTGAGTCCCAGTAGCTCCTTCTTCCACTGGTCAGACACAACTGGGCTGATCCAGTCTCATGAGTCTCTTTGAAGACTGGTGTAAAGTTGGCAGAAGTGGAACGAAAGCTTCTTCTTTCCTGGCATTTGCTCCTGGGCCTCTATCCGAGATTGCTATCCTCCTTTTTCTTTCAAGGACCTGATTACTCTGTACTGCTCTCAGACTTTGCCTTGATTGTTTCAAACCTCCCCATCGTGCCCTGTTGATGTGTGTCTCCCAGGACTTCTTGTTGGGGGAATGGACCCCATTTCATCTTTGGTAATTTATCCTAAATGGTGGCAGTGATAGAGCAGAGCTACTAAGAGAAAAAACAGGAAAAAGAAAGAAAGAAAGAAAGAAAGAAAGAAAGAAAGAAAGAAAAAAGAAACAGATGAAAAAAAGATAAAAGACTTTGGAATCAGACAGAACTTTCCAGGCCTAGCTGTGGAATGTAACAGCAGCTTCACTTGACTTGGATGCCTTTTCCACGCTGTAAAGTGGGTATGGTACTAATAGTACTACCTTCCTAGGGCAATTGTGAGCACCATGAAGCGAGGCCTGCGGGAGCCCTGTGGTCCTAGCTTCCCTGAGGCAGCCACTGTGCTCATTTCTCTTCCATCACAAAGAGCCCCATAGATGCCCATAACAGTTAAATGGGAATGGTTGGTCTCAGGAGAAAAGAAGGCAACATTGGTAGGCAAAGTGCCACTCTACACCTCCAGGTTAAAAGGAGACGGTGACCTGACTCCAGATTTTTTGTTTTGAGGAAAATGCAATTGAAAAGCTTATTCACGGGGCCAGGGAGATGGCTCAGTAGAGTAAGTGCTTGCCTGGCAAGCTCAAGGGCCTGAGTTCAATCCCTGGTTCTGAAAAAAACAAACAAACAAACAAACAAA